GAGGCCGAACTGCCCAGACCTTCACCAATCGGTAATTCCGATGAAATTTCCACAACGAAAGATGAGTTTATAATGATATTTTTTTCATAGCTAATCGTAACGAGAAGAAAAAAGAAAGCTTCTAAGCTTAACTGATGTGCGCGATTGTCGAGATCGTAATTGCCGGGAAAGCCCGTCAAGAATTCAATAAAGTTTTTTACTGATTCAAACACCTGACGTGGATTACGTGTCCAATCGTAATTTTCTTGAAAAAAATGTAAAAGAAATATGCGTAAAGGTATCTTCATGTGTAATCGGATACTGGAAAATTTTATTTCGATAAAATCTCTTCGAACTACTTCTGTAGGAAATGAAGAGAATGTAAGAACGGTACGCATGTCTAAGTCGGCTGCTGCACAACTTTTGTTATATTCTCCACATAAAAGCACCGTGCCCGGTGCAGACACCTTGAATCTGTACATGACCTTTAGAACGAAAAATTTATTTATAATCCGAAGAATAGGCGTAATGTCGATTGATCGATTGTAAAAAGTCAGACACAAAATCCGTTAATCCTGTAAATATGAATTCTATTTATCAAAGCAACAAAATTGTTCATTAGTATAACTTAATATATATTACTCTATTCTATATCAATTAATAAAATGCTAACTACGATAAATGTCATTACCAATTCGTTATCGATTCTCTGCGATCCATACGTGGAAAAGATCCAATAAGTTTCAACTCACAATCGGTTTCCCAGTTTATCCTCTTGATTTAATAGTGTCAGCAAAACAACATTTTTATCTTCACTTTATTTATCTAAAAACCTGGATTACATATACTCCATTATTGAAAACATTAGGATATGTATATATATAATATTGCTTTTAATGTAATAGTAAAGACCTTGTCTTGATACTTGATGAAATCGAAGATGATAAAATGTAACAATTAGAAGATTTGCAATGTCAGATTGACCTGTCGTCATCTTTAGTATATGTAGAACTAAGGGTAATGTCTTTTCAGAGTTAATAATGTTTATAACTAGAAACGATTTCTCCTCAGTAAGGACAATTTAGTATAATAATCACAAACTACACAATCAAAACATATAAAAATGTAAATACAACTTACACATTTAATCCATTAACTCGCGCGTATAGAATTATTATATAAATTCAATTTTTTTTCATATCGTACGTTCTAAACATGAGTTATTCATTGTTTATATTTAATTATTAATATTACGAATAAGTTATTGATTCCAACACGCTATTCAATTCTGAATGCGTTGCAATTCAAAGTGTTAATAAATATATTATATTACATATTATATTATATATTATATAATATAATATTAATAATATCAAGCATGTGAATAAACTTAGTTCATATTATTTCGATACCATTCAAAGTAAAATCAATTAACAAAGATGTATTTTTCTATGCTTCAAAATTCATATTATTTTTGTTTAGCAACTTGATTTTCGTTTTGTAGCTAACTTCGAGAAGACTAGCAGGATTTTTATGCCTAGCAAATGAGAAAAAGACTTTGATGTCGATGTACATATTACCTGTTCGCCGAATATTTTTATCAGTCGTACGTGGATGTTAGTCAAGGAATTGAATATAACAGAATCACCATGCTGAACATAATTTGAGATCTTCTCGAGAACTTGTTTGCAGAATTCGTAGAGGTTAGTCTTTTTCTGGAAAAGGGACCGCTAAAAGCACGCTGCAAGACATATCGCGAACGGTGCCGTAATTTCAAGACTTTCGATCGACAATTCTGTTGATAGTTTCACAATAGAAGATGATAATATGTTGACATCTTTTTAATGCTTATAATGATCGAAAGAAAAAGAATGCATGTAAACTTAATTGACGAGCTTGGTTGCTAGGTTTGTATAAGCCGTCATAGTCCGTCATGGAAATTATAAAAATTTTTACTATTTCATGCAACGCGAAATCAAGTTATTGTGCCCGGAGGGACGTTAAACTTATATTCCTTTCACCAAAAATTTATTGTCCAGACAACAGTTGTAATGTCGAGTGACAGATCGTAAAAATTAAATACGTAACTTGTGAATCCTGCAGATATGAATTCTGTTCATTAAAGCAAGAAAATCGTTCGCAAGTAATTATTAATATCATTTATTCGTTATACATTAATGAAACATTAACTATATTACATTTTTTTTGTAAATTAATGGACAATACTGATCGCGACAATTCTAATTCATTTTACCAATTCATTATCGATTTTTTGCGATCCATGCATGAAAGAAATCTAATAATTTTAACATTGCTTTATGATTCATATTTGATGTTATCGTCAAAATACACTGCAAATTGAATTAATTTTCTGTACAACTCTGGATTTATTATTAGCTGCATTCGGCAAAAAAAGCAGCTTTCCCACTATTGTAAAACTTTTTAATATGATTGATCTTGGTCTTATAGTTTTTCACTGGATTTAAACGTATAAATAAATTATGTTCAAGAATTATGCGACAGTTGTAAAGCTGTTTTCTTTGCTAAACGGAACCATTGAGATTAAGAATAATTTTTTTTGTTAGCATAGTTTAATTTAATAAATGACATACAAACAATTGGAATATACACACAAATGTAAATACAATACGATTGAATATGTCTCAATCTATCAAAAAGCAGCAATTACAGTAAATATTATTGTCATCTTCATATAATTTCATATTATATTTATTAACGCATAGAAAACTTCTTAAGAATTTATTATTATAAAAGTAATCAATTACGCATCTAATATATGATAAGATGATAGAATAGTAATAAGATGATATAAAATATTTGCTTACAATAAAATATGATAATGATATAAGATCTATTACTATCGTATGTGTAAATTATTAATTATATTATGCTTATTACGTATATTTTTATATTTATGTTATATATATTTGTATATATTATATACATAAAATATATACCTAGCTATCTAATATTTTATTACATATATTTAGAAGCAAATATCTTATTTAACATCTTATTTAAATATCTTATTTAAATATATCTTATTTCGACAAATGCGAATTTCTATACTTAGTCCGCTAATGCGTACAAAATGTACATATTATATAAAACTTTTCTTCATAACTTGCGTCATAGATTCTTAGCATACGCTTTCTTTATTCATTGTTTATATTCAACTACTCATACTAATTACTGATTTCAACATGTTATTCAACTCTTACTCCACTACAATTCAAACTAGCTATCTTAGTAGAATAATTATGCGACTCAAATATCTTGATCAGATCTTGGATGTATTCATCTGAGTTGCTTGGTAGCAGCAAAATAAATACGTATCCACCTACGCAGCTGGCGGTGATTTTTGCTCCAAGCGAAGAATCTCGCGCAATTGAGCAAATACCGTCTATGTTTGGATGTGACGTGCCTAATGCTTTTAGTAGTCCTTGATTCATTTGAATGAGATCCTGTAAAGTATGTTAGAAAGCGATTAAAGTTATCAGCGTATAGCTATATAAAAGAAAAATAATCAGAATAACTTTAACAAATAGTAAACATGTGCATTAAATTGTATCAAAATTTGTAGAATGAGACTTACTACTAAATCTTTATAATAATTTATCAGACAAACTGAGTTGATTTCAACTATCTCTTGCTGTTTTAAAGAAACCGTTTCTTCATTAATCTTCTGAAGGGTTTGAATAAACTTTTGCGATATAGTTTCGATCCTATTTAAAATAAGATCAACGTAAAAAGATAAATTCTCTTCCACGATTATTTTTATACTTTTTTCGATTTTCTTGCTAACATTCGAAAAAACCAGCAGGATCTTCATGCTCGGTACATCAAAAGAATTCTTGGACATTTCCTCATTAAATTCTGTTACCACACCACTTGTAGATATTGAGATGTTGATTAAATTGGAGGAAGTGTATACAATATACTCACAAAAGAGAGCACTTTCCATGATATATGTAAGATCTGTAGAATTAAATATGTAGCGGACCGTTCCTTGTTGCAGGAGATACCAACGCCAAAAACATGCTGCTAAACATACTACAAACGAGGCCGAACTGCCCAGACCTACACCAATCGGTAATTTCGATGAAAGTTTCACAATGAAGGATGATTTTATAATGAAGTCTTTTTGATAGCTAATAGTAACGAGAAGAAAAAAGAAAGCTTGTAAGCTTAACTGATGTGCGTGATTGTTGGGATCGTAATTGCCGGGAAAGCCCGTCAAGAATTTAATAAAGTTTTTTACTGATTGAAACAATTGTTCACGATTATGTGTCGGATCGTAATTTTTTTTATGAAAATGTAAGAGAAATATGCGTAAAGGTATCTTCATGTGTAATCGGATACTGAAAAATTTTATTTCGATAAAATCTCTTGGAACTACTTCTGTAGGAAATGAAGAAAATGTAAGTACGGTACGCATGTCTAAGCCGGCTGCTACACAACTTTTGTTATATTCTCCACATAAAAGCACCGTGCCCGGTGCAGACACCTTGAATCTGTACATGATCTTTAGAACCAAAAATTTATTTATAATCCGAAGAACAGGCGTAATGTCGATTAATTGATCCTAAAAAGTCAGACACAAAATCCGTTAATCCTGTAAATATGAATTCTATTTATCAAAGCAAGAAAATCGTCCATTAGTATAACTTAATACATATTACTCTAATTGTATATCAATTAATGAAATGCTAACTGTGACAAATGTAATTCATTACCAATTCGTTATCGATTCTTTGCTATTCATGCGTGGAAATGATCCAATAAGTTTCAATTCACAATCAAATCAGTTTCTCGGTTTATCCTCTTGATTTAATAGTGTCAAGATAAAGCCATTTATCTTCACTTTTTTTATGTTATATATCTATATAATAACTTGGATATTTCATTATTAAAAATGTATAAATGTGGATATGTATATATATATATAATATTGCTTTTAATGCAATAGTAAGAACCTTGTCTTGATACCTGATGAAATCAAAGATGATAACTAAAATTTAGCAATTAGAAAATTTGCAATGCTCAGATTGATGTGTCATCATCTTAGTATATGTAGAACTAAAAGCAATATCTTTTCAAAGCGTTTATAATGTTTATAATCAGAAACGATTTCTCCTCAATAAGGACAATTCGGTTTAATATAATCCCAAATTACACAAACAATCAAAACATATAATATAAAAATGTAAATACAACTTACACATTTAATCCGTTAACGCGCGCATATATAGAATTATTATATAAAATTCAATTTTTTTCATATCGTGCGTTCTTAATATGAGTTATTTATTGTTAATATTTTATTATTGATATTATGAATAAGTTACTGATTCCAATATGCTATTAAATTCTCAATCCGTTGCAATTCTAATTGACTAATATATATTTTAACAGAGCAATTTGCGTTTCGAATGTCGTGGTAAGACCTTGAATGTTTTCATCTATGCTATCCGGTAATAAAATGAAATCACCTCTAATAGTAATCTTCCCAGCGAATAAAAATTTTGATCAACTGCGCTAATAATGTCGTAGTTTAGATACCACATGTCTAATGCTTTAGTAGTTATTAATTCACATGAATAATATTCTTAAAAAATAATTAAAGTTTCCAGCGTATCTACGAGGAATCTCCAAGGGACAATCACCACAAATACATCGTGTAGTAAAATTATACCAAAGTAGGTATCGAAATTCGGATAACAAGACATACCAAAGTTTTATAGTTATTTATTACATTAATAGATTGACTGTTATTATTATCTTTCAAACAATTATATGTCTTTATATTATTAATATCAAGCATGTGAATAAACTAGTCGATATTACTTTGACATTATTCAAATTAAAATCGATTATTAAAGATGTATACGCTTTCATTTTCTACGCTTCAAAATTCATACTATTTTTGTTTAGCAATTCGATTTTCGTTTTCTTGCTAACATTCGAGAAGATCGGCATTTTTGTTGATAGTTTTACAATAGAAGATGATAATATGTTGATATCTTTTTAAAGCTTATAATGATTAAAGGAAAAAGAATGCATGTAAACTTAATTCAGTCTGGTTGCTAGGTTTGTATACGCCGTCATAGTCCATCATGGAAGTCATAAAATTTTTTAGTATTCATTTCATGCAACGAGAAAAGAAGTAATTGTAATTTTCGCCATAGAAGTCTATGAAAAATTGGCGTAAAGATATTTTCTGTGTAACTGGATATTAGTGCGGACAAGTTAAACTTGTACATGCCTTTTATGAAAAATTTGTTGCCCAAAGAGCAAGTGCAATGTTGAGTGACAGAAAAATTAAACACGTTACTCGTGAATCGTGCAGATATGAATCCTATTCATTAAAGCAAGAAAATCGTTCGCATGTACTTAATATCATAACGTTTGTTATACATTAATGAAACACACTAACTATATTACTTTTTTGTAAATTAATGGAAAAGATTCATCGCGACAAATGTAATTTATTTTACCAATTCATTACCTTTTTACGATCCATGCGTGAAAGAAATCTAATATGATTCAATTTTGTTCAGCTTTTTGACTCGTATTTGATATTATCGTCGGAATATACCGCAAATTAAATTAATTTTTTCTACAACTTTGAATTTATTATTAGCTGCATTCATTAGAAAAAACAACTTTGTAAAATTCTTTGATATGATTTGTCATGTCCTTATAGTTTTTCATTGGATCTAAATATATAAATCAATCATGTTTAATAATTTTGCGACAGTTGTAAAACTGCTTCCTCTGCTAAATGGAACCATTGAGATTAAAAACAATTTCTTTCTTGTAAGGATAGTTTAATTCGATAAATGTCATACAAACTGTCGGAACATAAACACAAATGCAAATACAATAC